TAATACATCCAACTCTGGAATGTGAATACAGCGTTCTACTCAACTTCATCAAAGGAACCCAGTCGTCCGATGTTTCTGTCATCAATGCGCACCAGGTAAACATTGTTCGTCTTCGATCATCAGACCCACATATGTCTGTTCCCCTTAGGCTCTAAATGTCGCCCTTCGCATGGATGCGCTTTCCAACTTGAAGATCTCCGTGAGAGTGAGAGCGGAACGACGAATCTTCTACACACCATTCGATGCGGATGAACTCCATGCGGCCAAGCTGAATGCCGAAGTCGGCGCAGGAATCGTCGTCTGGCGCGGCTACCTCCATTCCCTGCGCCCTGCGATCGACCGCCTTCTCCTGAATCTCGATGTCTGTACAGGTGCCATGTACCGGCCCGGGAGCCTCATTCAACTCGCGTACGAATACCTCGATGCCGATTTACCGAGCCGTTCTCCGGACGCCCTCATGCAGCTGCTGCGTGGGTCGGAAAATAGCCGTGATCGCCTCACGCAGTTCATCATGGGTCTGCGTGTCGAGTGGAAGCGTATCGGAAGCCAGCAAGACACGGTGGTGCGTAGCGTCAAGGGCTTGGGCGGCAGTGCGGACCGAGAAGACTTCAAGCGGCGCGATGGGCGGAAGACGAATGTTGCTGACTATTTCCTCGAGACGGAGCACAGGGGTCTCCAGTATCCAAGCCTCCAATGCGTTCAAGTGGGTCAAATTCGTTTTTAGATCCAACCGTTCTGAAATTCCTTCAAGGTCGGCAATGTCGAGACAGGAAAAGGTGCGCTGATCCCGCTCGAGTTATGCAGCGTTGTCCCCGGTCAGCCACTGCGTATGGAGTTTCCCCAGCGGCTCGAAGTGAAGCGCCGCCTGCTCAGCGTGCGCGACCCGGCGAAGCGGCTTGAGGACATTGAGAAAGGGCTTCAGGTGCGCCATATATTTACTTCTTGCTCTGAATACTTCATAATGCCCCGCAGGTATTTGGATATGGTCAATCAGAGTATGCGCGCGATTTCGGCGTCAGTGTGGAGACCTCTGTGCTCTCCACCGTTGCCCGCGTACTCGATCCGCCCGCGTTGAGATATCTATCTGCATCTGCCAGTCAAGAGGAGAGCGTTGTGGTATTTATTTTTATTATTCATCATTCAAGGCGTGACGGCGGTCGACGATTTAGCACCCGGAGAATGGGACCTGGAATATGTGAGTCTCGTCTGTGTCTACCGGTCCAGATATTTGATAGTGTGCCAGGAAGGAGAGGAACTTCTACAGGCCCGCGAGGATCGAGAGCTGGGCGCTCATCAGCAGCGAGCCAGAGCACAGATTCTCGCGCAATATCGCGACAGAAATGAGCGAGCGATTTGTGAGGGGATGCCGAGACACAGGTGGATGTTTTCTTGCCACAACGTCACAGTACTTCGTCTCATCACCCCGTTCGGCTGCAGGAATTGAGGTGGTCCGGGAGAAGCCGATTGTTATCTCATACCTTCGAGGAGACGACATATTCAGGGTAAGGGATATCTTATGTGAAACGAGCTACGGTTTGAGCTGAAATTTGCCAGCAATTGGACGCTGCTGAAATGCAGTGCGTTGGCAGGACTGGGAAAGCTCCGTCTCTGTTCTTTTTTGTGATCCCGAACAAAGACGTCGATGGCGTCACGTACAGAAGTTTCAAGCAGTGCGTGTATTTTGCACCAATATTCTGTTAAATAACTTGCAAGTTATTATAGTTGGGGCGATGTCAAGGTGCGTCATCTTCATGTAGCTTTACTCACTTCTGACACCCTGACAGAGAGGAATCGCCACCCAATGCATGAGACTGAGTAACTGCCTTGTTACCAAACCTGGAATCTGGTCCAACCTCGCCCACAAGTGTGTTTCTTCTTGTTCTGTGCGACATGTTTGATCGCGTTCCGTCTCCCTAGGATCAATCTGAAGCTCGGCGGGATAAATGTGATTGTCGACCACGCAGGATTAACTGTCCCTGGCACTGTCCCGCTTCTCGGCGACCTGAAGAACGCGACCGTGGTCATGGGTGAGCACCGTTCATCAGCTACATCATATTAACAGGATTAGGTGCCGATGCTACGCACCCGCACACAGGGGGACTGCCTAATCATCCTTCGTATGCTGCCGTTGTGGCTAGTGTAGACACGCATGCATCGAAATATGTGGCGGAGATCGGCTCGCAAAAGGCTGGGAAAGAGATTATAGAGAACTTGGATGAGATGACAGGGGTGCGTTGAAATCAACATGACGCGTTCAGGTGCTAACGCAGAGCAAGCTTTTACTGGCAGCCCATATGCGGTACCGCCGGGAGACCGAGGTGGAGCCCGAGGACGAGGTTCCGAAGCGGCTGATTTTCTATCGAGGTGAGATTACTGTGTTATGAGGATTAAATCTCAGTGAACTCGGATAGACGGTGTACCGGAGGAACAGTTTCAGACAGTGCTTGACGAAGGTATGGCTGCCGGGTGATGATTACGTTGTGCTAACCAGTATCCTCAGAATTGCCTTTAATCAAGAGTTGTCCATATCCTCGTACTGACCTACATTAGTTAACATCGTTCCAGAGGGATGCGATACGTTAAACATCAACCCAAAAATTACCCTGATTGTCGTACGCAAGCGCCACCACTTCCGGTGAGTCCCGATAATCGAAGTTTTCGGTCATGTATCGATTTCTTTCCACTAGATTCTTCTACAACCAGACAAACTGTCAAGCCGGAACTGTCATCGACCGGGATATCGTGCACCCCACGGATTTCGACTTTTACTTGCAGAGTCACGGCCAATTTGGGGTTCGCGGGACAAGTCGTGCAGCCCACTACTCGGTGAGCCACAGAGCCGTTTGAGCCTCCATGAGCTGAACTTGCTCCAAGGTGTTATATGATGTTCGTTCCCTACCTTCAAGGGTGATAATCCGGCCTCTGACCAATCCGTTTATTTTCAGGAAAATAATCTTACGCGAGCACCTTGGCTGTCGTATTCTCTTGGGGTTGACCATATATAACTAGGCCGGATCAAATCCAAGCTCTCTCGTTTTCCCTTTGCCATCTCTACTCCCGTTCCCCCACCGCTGTGTCGATTCCGGCCCCAGTATACTGTGCGCCGTTTTACCTTCCTCTGTACCAGTGTTGGAATACTGAGCGGCTACCAGGGGCTCACAGAGTGTGCGACCGCAGGGTGATTCACTACGACCCCAAGTCACCAGCAAGCAGACCGAAGACCTCTTCCCAGAGCTTGCCGTTCCCCGATGAAAGCAACGTCGATGCCTTCCTCAGTTCGCACAAGAAAATCCACCAGAACCACAAGGACGCGATGTACTTTGTGGTGAGCGTCTGATGATTGTTTATTTGCATGCTTCCAAGTTTTAAACTTCTTGTTCAGTGACCGATGATTACGCAACTACATAACAATAACATTCAAGTTGATATTTGTACGATGTACCGAATATGCGCGTTGGAGTAGGGTCAATATATGTTCGCCATTTCCTCGTGTTGCCATTCAGGCTCAGCGTCCTATGAATACACAAAAGATGAGAAAGAGGCCGCGCACAGGAACGGCGGTCTCGGTAGCAATGGCGGACTTCTCGCAATTTTTAAAATTTGAACTCTCATCATAAAAGACGTGGAGATGATATAACGTCTTTAATTTAAGAGGTTTTCTTCTCTGAGATCGCGCTCAGTCAGCACAGTAACAATGACCGAAGTACAAGCGGCACAGGGAGGCAAGAAGAATTATGTACTTTAATTGGAGGCATACCACACAGGAGTCAAGTAAGCTTGTGCGACTCGGGCAGGCCATCAACGATATGATCTTGTTGGAATGAGCGTAAGAGCATCTCTGGGTGCGGGACGATCTTTTTGGGCAGCGAGGCGATTGAAGGCAAATATTCGTTGAAACAAGGTGAGAAAAACGAACCTTGGTCGCGGGCATGCCGAAGAGAATCGGACAATGATCATTTCAGTAACCGCCTCATTACTTGAATATGTAAGCCGAATTTCATAGTCAACAGCCTTCCCTACTTAACCGGTGGTGGAGGGACGATTTTAAGAGCTGTTCAGGTCAATTGAATGAGCTCGGGCATCTCGGCTTAATGAATTCATCTTAAAATCTCACCATATCATAAAGGCGTGGAAAGTGAAAACACATAGTATGCACTGGTGTCGGCAGAACTTCCCTCTGAGAAAATTCACCCCGTCTACAGCTATGCCTCCGGAGCGGCTGACTTGAATCCTCGGCTGCTCAAATTGACGGCCAGCGGAATTATTGACTACCTCAGGTGATTTCCATAGTCTCTTTTTGCCCTGATATGAAGATCTCTGTGCGTGTCCATTGATTCTTCAACAACCAAGTAGGAGAAGCTCTAAGAGATGTTAGATCCAAGCTAGCAGGGAGGGCGGGAAAAAAACTTGACGACGCCACATTCATGCCTCCGAAGGGAGTCGAACCCTCTTCTCCTCAATACCGTAGAAGGACCGACCTAAGTATGTGAGGCGACTTCCATGGTACCGGTCCACAGAGGCTTGCTCCCCTTCCCATTGGGTCGGAGGTATAGATTATTCCGCGAGTCCGGGTTAGCGGGTCGGGACTCCAGGCAGCACCAAAATCTGTTACATGTAAAATGCAGCACGATGGTCCTGCCGGGCGATAGTTCTTCTGTTTACTGTGCACAGTGCGCCGTGGCGGGAATAAATCAAGGTCCGGGTCAGCACCAGGAAAACGAACACCGAATACTTATTATGAAAAAAGAAAACAGTCGGCGTTGAGTTGTCTCAATGCCTCTGGAGGGATTCGAACCCTCAACTCTTCAGAGACAAGCATGTTTACTTGACACAAATTTGAAGTGTCTCATCCCAGGACCACAGAGGCTTCATTGCCATGGTTGTCCGCACTTGATCCTGGAAAGAGGGTTTGGACTTTGGGACGGATGGTGCGGCTTTGATTGGATTGCGCAGCGTGGAAGTTCAAGTTGGCACCATTAAAAAACCTGTCAGACTGCGAATGCCTCCGAAGGGATTCGAACCCTCAACCCTCCCAGATTCCACTCTGTTAATAAATCGGGAGTGTCTTTACCACAGACCACAGAGGCATTATAAGAGATACCAAAAATCAGGCACGTAGGTCTCACAAGGCTGGAGATACTCGGACCTTGGACTCGGAAAAAATCGTGACTCGAAGTCTACGAATTGCAGGTAAAGAACTTTGAGGAAGAAAGAACTTCAAGGAAGAAAAAAACCAACAGGCCTCAAATATGCCTCCGAAGAGATTCGAACCCTCAACTCCCTGAAATGCAACGAATGATAGTCTGCATAACAACAAGGTGTCTTAACTAGACTACGGAGGCTTTGAGGCTTGGCTCTTCAGGAAAGGAAAGGTGGGAGGAGGTATAGGTTTGGATCCCGAGTTCATTTGTTAAGGTAATAAAATCAGAATTCGCTAAGAATCTAAGATGGATGTAGACTCCGACATGGACTCGTATCCGGACACGAAAAGCAGGGAGTCGGAGACAAAAATAAGAAGCAGGGAGAAAAACATATTTCAGACCAGACATGCCTCAGGAGGGATGCGAACCCTCGATTCTCCTTGGCATATATTAAGGGCCTGATCGGGTGCGCTAGAATAGGCTTAGAATTGGTTTCTATAGAATGTCACATTTATGTCACACCTTTGTCAATTCCCGCCATCCAGGCCCAACTCCCAATGCCCGCCGACGCAATTCAGCGCAATCGACGATATGTCCGGCAGGCCCGCATACAAGACCGCATCCATACTTCATGTGTCCAAAGACGACGTACCGCCACCTATAGCGCCGTTATTGCTGTTATCTTTTTCAGCACCGCCCTTCTGGGAGTCGAAAGACCGATGCCACGACCAATGCATACCTCGATTCTAACTGGACGGGGCTGGCTAGACGAGGTGCTACATGGTCATCCAGACCGTTGCCATCGAGAGCTCGGGATGAGTGCTCTGCAGTTCTCACTACTATGGGCTGAATTAGCAGCAAACGGAGAGCTGGCTGATAGCCGTTTCGTCACCTCACAGGAGCAGCTCGCAATATTTGTGTACTGGATGGTCCACGGGAGCAGCCAGAGGGAACTCCAAGAAAGGTTCCAACGTTCGGGTGACACCATTAGCCGGCGCGTTTCTTCGTTAATCACCAATTCGTCTATTGATTGCGCACAACAGATATCTTGATAAGGGACTGGCCATGTTCACTGGTGCCTTCTACAACAAATATGTTCCTGATCCTCAAGACGAAACTCCCCACAAGATCCTATCAGACCCGCGCTGGTTTCCGTTCTTCAAATACTGTCGTGGTGCTACAGACGGCGTCCATATCCCTGCTTATGCCCTCTCTGAACATATTGTACGCTACCGTGACCGCCATGGGCAGATCTCCCAAAACGTGATCGCAACTTGTGATTTTGACTTGAGATTCCTCCATCTCATGCCCGGATACGAGGGCACAGCTGCCGACGGACATCTCTTTGACTGTGCACGACGGAATGGCTTTGCATTACCCCCTGGCCGCTACTATCTCGCCGAAGCTGGGTTCCCGAACTGTGATATGTTACTTGCTCCTTATCGTGGCGAACGATATCATCTGAAGGAGTTTGGAGGGAAACAACGGCAAGGTGATCCAATTTCATGTGCGCTTATCCAACTGAATCAAAAATATATAGGCCTCAAACTCCGAAGGAATTGTTCAATCTACGCCACGCGCAACTCCGAAATGCCATCGAACGTATCTTCGGTGTCGTCAAGCGACGCTTCCATCTCTTGATATCACGTCCGGAATTCAGCTATAGCAAACAAGCACTGATCGTCGGAGCCGGCGCTGCTCTACACAACTTCCTCCGGATTCACTCGCTAATCAACGACATCGGTGACGACGAAGAGTACGATGTAGACGGCGATTCATTCTTTGCAGGGGGGCCAGCGCTGGATATTGGGCATGTGTATGCCATCGATACTACCGAGAAATCGCGGGCAGATGCGCGTCGGGATCGTATTTCTAATGCGATGTGGATTCCTTATGTTCGAGAGCACCCAGATTTGGCGTAGAATTACAAATGACATTCAATTCATTGCTACAATTGGGATAACAATACGATGAAACTGATGCTAGCGTACAGTGCAGGTTATAAGTACAGAAAACAGGAATATGCGACGAAGGTAGAAAGCGATGGGTGCAGTTAAAATCTAAGGGCACGATAAATACGGGATCATTCCGCAGATGAAATGGTGTACCTAGGGGTCCAATAGGCCTGCGTCTTCCAGAATACCCTCGAGGATCCCGATTCGACGCGTCCGGTCTTCTTCCAGGATGAAAACGCGAGCCAGGGCCGCATCACGACTGAGGGCGGCGGAAACAGTACGGTAGAGTTTACCGCGGGGATCAGCAGGGAGAAGGGTTGTATCTTTGAGGATATTGACAACCTCGTTGACATAAGATAGATCCTCGGAAGTAACGAGAGGCTGCGCCATGACATTGGACAGGTTGTCGAGGGCACGCGAAATTTGAGTGCCAGCTTCTGCGTTGCGTCGGGCGATGCCTCCGGAGTCGGAACGCTGATGTTTCAAAGGTTTTCTGCCCGCGTTCTCCGCGTCGCTCGTGTCGTCGTCTGTTGGGGCACGTTCGCGCTTCTTGGGTCCCTTGTGCGATGGTGTTGGTGCATCCTAGTTAAAATGAATGAGAAGGAGCATTGGATATATTGGAAGATATCCATACAACATTGAGCTCATCGTCAAAGGCACCCCGACCCTCCTCACCATCATTTTGCGACGTAAGCTGGCTATCGGTCAAAGAGTCGGCGTCGGAGTTGTTAGAAATGGGGCCGAGGGGTGCACGGGTATTGGTGGGGGTAATGCTGGGGGTCGAACTCGAGGTAGAGGGTGTTGTCTGCAGGGATTTGCGAGATCTGCGCTGCTTCTTCGGTCCAAGGTGTTGGACGTGCTCGCCAGTCGCCTTGTTAGTCATTCCACTATAGAGAGCATCCAGTTCTGCCCAGTAGGGACATGCGGTAGTAAAGCAGCGCGAATAATCGTCGCCATATGTCTGGTACAGTTAGCAGGCCACCGTGCTCGTTGACGTGGCGGCGCACCTTGACAAAGTCATCAACATACTCCTCTGTATTCGTAGCATGTTTCGCGTCGTCATCCCAGCCGCTACCGGAGAACTTCTGTACGAATACATAGCGGTCGAATATCTTCTTCAGCTGCTTGGGATGTGAGTGACGGGCGCGCATCGCGAAATTGGTCGCAACGTACATAGTTTAGCTTGTTCATGCATTTCTGCTTGTCCTTTTTGGGTTTTGCATCGGGATTGACCTGCTCTACCTTCGTTACAATGGAGGGCCAGACCTGGGGCTTGAATCCGTTCCCGCTCATGTGCGTGCTCTTCTTATCAGCCAAGCCCACCAGCAGCGCCTTGACCTCAGGATCAATCCACACTGCAGTCTTTGAGGTAATTTTGCCATTTTCATCGTTGCCCACGTCGTCCGGCGCGTTGGAAGCCATGGGGAACACGAGCAAGAGCAGTATGAGGGCAGCAAGAGCGAGTGACAGCAGCGTGACAAGATTCTATAGAACGTGATTCTAAGCTGATTCTAAGCCTATTCTAGCGCACCCGATCAGGCCCTAAGAGTGTCTTACCACTAGACTACGGAGGCAGCTCTTACCTTCACACACTGGGAGATAACATTGCGCGAGAGGGAGACGACGAGTGATTGACGTCACGTAAGAGAATCATGATAACATCACAAAGGCGCTTTCCTCCCACCACATCGCGCACTACATTTTTTCCTCATGTCGACCCGATAATCCGAAATGCGCTAGCTTGATGTGGATTCCAGAAGAGGGATAAGGAAGAAACAAACGTTTGTCGCACATCGGTCCTCGGATTCGTGTAAATGCCTAATGCGAATTGGGAGACGTCGGGCCAAGGATGTCCAACTCGGAGGAGTACGCACGTTAATGAGCAAGCCACGTAGGTAATCCGACACGAGGGTGCGCGTCGAGGACGGCAACCTTCTTTTGCGATAGACCGCAAGCGCTGTCGTACGATGGAGAACCCAGTCTTTTCGTTTCTAATGCACTCAGGTCTGTCCTGACGGGCTGGATGCACCACGTCGTGTACATCGGCATCACGGAGACGGCGATTAGGAGAGGGTGGGCGCGTGTGTTTTGTGTGCGGTTATGGAGGTGTGTGGCGTGTCTCTATTCCTTATTCCTATTCCCCATTCTATCTCCCGTTATATACTTACATGGTACCGTGCAGCTCCCGCCCTTCCTCCTCAGCCTCTCCACGCTCTTCCCGCGCACGCGCTCCAACACCCTCTTCGCGCTCACCTTCATCGCGACGCGGATTGTTTTCCAGTGCTGGTTTGGGAGTTTTGTTTTGGGGGTGGGGGCGGGGGGTGCGTTCTGTCTCCCACTTGGCTCCTTCGTTCTATTCCCGGCGCGAGTCGCGAGTCGCAAGTGCGATTCTCTCTCGACATCTTGGCGTGTCGTTATCCCGGCTTCGCTTCGTACCTGGACGGGGACGGACGCTACGCCAGGGGGAGCGCGCGGGCGTATGGACGTGGCTGGACCGCGTGCATCGAGGTCGAGTCGGGGGCACAATGCGCGCGTCGGCGCCTTTTCTTGTCTTTGCATTCCATGACCCGACTCGGGGGGGCTGCGCTTTCTCGGCCATGCGAGAGGCTGTGTGCCGGCGGGGTATACGCTCTCCTGCAGCGTGAACCTTGGGGTGATTGGGCGCAGGGTGGGGAGCACGGAACGAGGGGAGGAGCAGCACCCACAAGGCTGATGCTCAGCCGGGGTGGCCATGGTCCGCGCGCGTCGAGTCAATGCCTTGGGTCGGGACAGGGTGCGCGACGCATCAGCACTTTTTCCTTTTCTTTCTTGCTTTCGTTCTGAGCCGCCGTTGTGACTCGGAGGCTGCGCTTCCTTCGTTCCCAGCTATGCGAGAGGCTGCGTGCGGCGTGCCGGCGGGCTCTGCTGCAGAGTGCCGCCTGGTCTCGGGAGCAGAGCGGGGTGGGGAACGCGGAACGCGGTGGGGAGCACCCACAGTCGCGCGAAGACAAG